ACATGCCTTGTTATTGCTTATTAAGGTGGCTGCTACAGCTTTACTAAATGAAATGTAGCTCTGGAATTGTCTCTCCCCAAGCAACGTTCATAGGGTTCTCAGTTACAGAATGAGTGACAAACTGGACAGTTCTGCTCAACTAAGGTCCTTTTCCTACAGTTATCTGTATGCCCTTGGGAACTTGTCTCTTCTGTTTACAGATCATGCCATTGAAAAAAATCACATTACTCAACAGCTCAATCAGAAGTTTTAGGTCTCTCTTGGTAGTCCTGCTAATAGCACTGGCCAGAGAAAAATCTGTTCGGATTTCTTCCAGGCTTCAGATCCTATTTTTCAAACGCTACATGCCACCTCAAAGTACTTATTCAGTGGTTACCAGCATTTTCTTGTATATGGTCTGGTAACTGTTCTAGACTGGTGGACATCTGTTTTTCCTCATACATTTGAAAAAAAAAAAATCTGGTATCTCACTTCATTAATTTGAAAATTATACCTGTGTAAAGCTGCTTGAACCTTATGCCAGTTCTTCAAATATTAAACGGAAACTCAGCTGATATAAAAGAACATTTGTTTTGGGGGCATGGGCCTGTATTGAAGATCTCACTTGCAGTTCTGTCAATTTTGTTCACTATTTTCATGTCCCCCACTTTAATTTGTCGAGTCAAACATCCACATTTTTGGGAGTTTGATATCACAGTGACAAACATAAAAAGATTACAGAGCACTGGATGCAAAAACCACCATCCCAAGAAGCTACACGTGCTTTCAGGTATCCAGTATCAATGAATCCTACCGGACAGAGAAAGACAGTTTAAAACAAAGCAAGCAAGCACTGCAAGCTTTGCATCAAGAGAAGAAATTATGAAACTCCTCAAACAGAAAATGCTAGAAAAAAAAAATAAATCCCCTAATATCTACTGCAATTAACTTGAAAGGGAAATACCGCCTAATCACTAGATATGATTTAAATTAATTGTGTCAAGACCAAAAGATATTTGGAGTCTAAATGGCTTTTAAATAACTTATTATACATTCAATATAATACTTCAGCGAAAAGAAGAAGCCACCATCAAAATATTTCAAAGGTGTTAAAATGGTCACTTCTATAAGTATCAGATACAATCGAAATCAGGCGTCTGCCTGATGTTTCCATTTTTTCCCCTCAGCCCAAGAAGCACCAGAACCCCTACTCTGATCAGCTCACAAAAAACACAGAACACCAGCCTTGCCCATCTTCACCAGATAGCCTTCTGAGAGACAGTGGACTTACATGTCTTCTATTCACTGAAGTCTTTCCACAAAGAAAACAAAAAGATGAAAGTGGGTATTAGAAAACAAACTTACATGACTCCCTAGACTAGGCATTTTCATTGACAGCCAGGCTCATCTAAGTATAGCTTTATTTAAAATCCTTCCACTTAATTAAATATTACTTTAAAAATATTTATAACATCATTGTTAGGTTTGTTATGCACCCATATTCTCCCACATGCCTTGCTTCCCATAACCATACTGCTGCTGTGGGACATATCCCTGTGTGATGTTCCTAAATAGTTGGTTAACCTTAGGAAAAGCTGGAAACACCCTTGAAAAGTTGCCATAAAAGTATTTTGGTTGCTCGAGGATGTTCAAGATACTGAAGATTTATTGTAAAATGGGAGAAAACATCTACCCCACAGGAAAAGAAGGGATGGTGTTATTCTCTGTTTCATCCACCAATTGATTCTTGGAGAAGAAAAGGGAAAAAGTGTAATTGTTAATTGTCTTCATGAGATAAATCCTGAAGTACAGTGAAGGCAACCGTGCAAGGCCCAAACACTTGGTTAGGCTCAAGGCCAATGTTTTTATCATCGTTCTTCCAGGCAAAACACAGGTGCTACACTGCACAGCAAGTCAAAAAGGACTGTTGTGGTTTAACTCCTTGTGCCCCCCCCAGCCTGCTCGCTGGTGGGGTGGTGTGGGAAACAGAAGAGGCCTTGACACTGTGCAAGCACTGCTCAGCAACAGCTAAAACATGCCTGGGTTATCAACACTTTCCAGCACAAATCCAAAACATAGCCCCATACCACCTACCGTGAGGAAAAAGAACTTTACCCGAGCCAAAACCACTACAAAGCCCAAGTCTTTATAAATAAAATAACCCATATTAGATACTTAATTTACATGTTGCAGAAGTAACAGCAGAAAAAGGAGGCTGGAAGAGAATGAACTACTCAGAGGTAAACCCCAACACTTATAATCTTAGCATATTTAAAACCAAACCAGTTCACTAGAGGGTGTGTGTTCTCACATAAATGCATCATCTCAGATTATAAACAAAATGTCTGTAGGTTTAAACACATGATAATCATTAACTGTCAACTACATTTCACTATTTTTCATACGCCAAATTTCAGCAAGAAAAGTTACATTTCTTTAGATGCATATAAACATACATCAAACTGAATTACAAATACATACTACATTTATAGGCTGGTGAACAGATAGAACTCTGGCAAATCGAGGTCTCTGTGCAAAAGGTGGTGTACAATTGCAGCAGGAAACTGACAGTTCTGCTCCCAGGCCAGAGGGCAAGTTAGAAAAAATGGGGTGATTGGAAGAAGTCACCAGGACAGATGCAATTACTAACATTATATCGATACTGACCTCTTCCTGTATGGCAAAACAACTTTACAGGACATTTTCTCCTAATAATGAAATACCTTTTGAGACTGACTACATTGATAGATAACAGAGTATTCCTACACCCATTTCTACAAATGAACAAAAAAGTAAAAGGATACAGGGTACAGGGGAGAAAAGGGACTGTCTTTTAACACAGCAGTGTGGGTTCACTCTTCAGAAGCATTTATCTGTTTGCTTTTTGGTTGTTTTTTGTTGTTGTTTTTCCAACCCCCTTTGAAGAAAAGGATTTTACACAAACAGGAAATTTGTTCTAGAAGTACAATTGGAAAAAGCAGAGTTACCCAGCCTTCCACTGCCAGGATGAGCTGTTTTGGAAAAACCTTTGATGAGTAATGGCAACATGTAAGTTTCATGCTACCTACAGAAAATGACAGTAAACAGTATCACAGATGCACAGAATCACAGAATGGTTGAAGCTGGAAGGGACCACTGGAGCTCATCAAGTCCAGCCTTCCTGGCTCAGGCAGTTATCCGGAGTACATTCCTCAGGACTGTGTCCAGATGGCTCTTGAATATCTCCAGGGAAGGAGTCTCCACAACCTCTCTGGGCAACTATTTCAATGCTAGGCTACCTTCACAGTAAAGAAGTTCTTCCTCATGTACAGGTGGAACTTCTTGTGTTCTAGTTTATGCCTGTTGCCTCTCATCCTATTGCCTGGCACCACCGACAAGAGTCTGGCCCTGTCCTCTTGACACCCTCCCTTCAGATACTTACAGGAATTGATCAGATCCCTCCTGAGCCTTCTCTTCCAGGCTGAACAGGCCCAGTTCAGCCTTTCCTCATATAAGAGATGCTCCAGACCCTTAATCATTCCATTAGCTCTTTGCTGGACTTGCTACTGGAGCTCCATCTCTCTGTTGTACTGGGAAGCCCAGAACTGGACACAGTACTCCAGGTGTGGCCTCACCAAGGCTGAGTAGAGAGGGAGGATCACCTCCTTGGACCTGCTGGCAACACTGCTCCTAATGCAGCCCAGGATGCCATTGGCTTTCTTGGTCACACGGGCACAGGGACAGCCCAGGTTCCTCTCCACAGGTCATAAGGAAAAGATGATTCCTACTGTCATGTGATGTAAAGTTTCGAAGACTTCCAAATATTAACTGTACTCGATAGTAACAACTTTTACCTACTGTAATATGCCATTTGAGTCAAATGTGATGGATCCAAAACCAATGTCTTAACTAATAACCTAAATTCCCTTCATTGACAAGAAATATGAAATAAACCCTAGAAGTGTCTGCATCTCATCTCATACTTAAGCTGCAAAAAGCCATTTTTTTTCCGATCAAGCGTTCAGGGACACATCTAAAATAAAAACCAGAGCACACAGTGAGAAAAGTAACTACCTTTTTCCTTTTAATATAGATGTAGTACAGAATGTTTAATTACAGCAGGACAGTGCTTCCAGTTAAATAAAATTAAAAACCTTTATTTTCCCCAAATATAAAATTACTAAATTAATGTCTTAAAAGAATAAGAATATGGAAAAAGCTTTAAATTATACCACCATTTACCACAGTAACCATGATCAACAATTACATACTCCATTGCTTTGGCAAAAAAGTTTTCTTCTTTTAATAACTGCATATAAACCTAACATAGCAAAGACTGTATACATCTTTATATTGCACTTATTTATATACAGGAATAAATGAACTGTGAAGTCTGCATATACTTGGAATGAGCGAATTTTCACAATAAACTGAAAGCAGAAGGATAACAGCTAGTATGAATATTAAAAAATGCTTAGAAAGGTAATACATTTATGTACAGACTGTATGGACTGTATTAACAAACAATATGTACATAACAATTACTACTATTGATATTTTAGTGTAACTCAGTGTTCATTAATACAGACCTTTGGTTGTATTTAGTTGTTTAGTAAGATCTAAGCTCACATACCTCCAAAATGCAACAAGGTATAAAATAAAGCACAACAATTTGCCAAATGGTACAAAACCTACTATTGTCAGTTCCATTAAACCCAAAAAACTAGTGTCTCTGTCTAGCCCCAAAATAGTTCTTGTACTTGGAATTAATCTCTATGTGCCATACACAAAAAGAACACCTGAATGTTACATGTCTGCAAACTTACATCCCACAACACTTTTTTTGTAATGTGCAATTCATCTTAATAATACTTTCTAAAGTGAAAGAGAAATTAACTTCAACTTTATAGTTTTCCAACACACATTTCTGCAATGACATTGTGAATGCTTTTAAATGTTACCAGCACGACTTAAAAATATATATGTGTGCCTCCTTTACTCTAAAAGATTATTACCAGTTACTGCTATTTGCTAAGTGTGCTCAGACATTCGTATGGATTATGCAGCTTGCACGTGCCGAACATTTAGCTTCAAAAATCATCCTGAGTTCGCACACCGATGAAGCAAATCCACACACTTTGAAAAAGAAACGAACACACTTTCCTTTACAAAACAATCATGCAACTGAAGAAGAACTGGGCATCCCATGAACTGTTGTGCTTGTTGGAGTTCCACTTATGGCGTTGAAAATGTGTAGCGAATTCGGCATAACACTGGCCTTTTCTTCAACAGGAGTAATCTTAAAACGGAAAACATGTATTTACCAAAACGTTACAAAATGACACAAGCACACCAAAAAGACTTCATTCTTAACAACTAGAAATTGACTAACGCTAACATTAGAAATTCTGGGGAAAACGAATGCTACAAAGCTTAGACAAACTAAGAGCAGAAATAAACAAAACTAATTACCATCCCAGCTGATCATATTGGCAAGCAGCAGAGAGGAAAAAAGAAAAAACTGTTAAGATTCTTTTCTATATTTTCCATAACAAATTTTTTGCAGTTATTTACAACCCATGCTCTTATAAGACAGCTAATAGTTTCTTCAATGACATTAGGACAAGCATTGTGAGAAGCTATTTTTCCAAATACAGCAACAGGCAAGCACATAAAGGTAACATTTTTAAAGATTTCAGCAAATAGCCTCATGATTCTGAGCCATCAGGGGAATGATCAATCTAATTTGGGAAAAAAAAAATAACCCAACACCACCACATGATATTTCTTGTGGGCCAGAAATACAAGTCTTCAGAGTTAAGAACCATGAGCCACTCTATGGCTCTGGGAAAAAAATCATACAAATAAGAGGGAAGAAAAGGAACCTGAAGTGATTAATAGGACAAATAAAAACATCAAGAAGGCAAGGATCAAGCATGAATCTTCATCTCTTCCTGCCCTCCTGGAAAAAACTGATTTTCCTTTGAAGTCAGGAGACATTTCTATCATAGATCACAGATGCAAGGTCCTGCATCTGCATGAGAGTTCCATTTTCCTATATGTCCAGCTTGCCTGTAGTGGATTCCCTTCAAGAAAACATGTTGGAATACCACAAGAAGGACTGCAACTCTGTTGCAGAAGTAAATGCTTATACCCCCCAAATCTAAAGAAAAAGGGCTAAGCTTGCAGATTAAATCCCCCTCAGTTACCAGGAAGTATAGACTAAGGTGAGCAACTTGGGTCACTCATAGAGAACCCTGTAACTACACATATGAAGTGTGACATATATATTCATGTCATTAAACGTTGTGTCTTTACTGTAATCTTCCTCTCCTATAAAAAACCAGGCTGGTGCCAACCAGAGTTACTTTCTTAATGAGGAAGACTTAATTCTGAAGGTCAAGAAAGCATCTGCAGAAAATTCACCAACAGGAAAAAAAAGTTCCACAATTCTATGATACACTTGTACTCCAGTAGAAAAAAATACATATAAAAAAAGAAACAATCCTTTTGCATAAAGTATTATATACACTTTTCCTAGTGGGTTCACATTACAGCTACATTTTGAATGCTGGTATGTAAAATCTAATTTCAGCACATACTTGTTCATGCATTATTTCAGAAAGCTCTTTTGCCATTTCTCTGTAGTTGGCCTTCATTTCTTCTTGATATTCCAACTGATCTTCCTTTATAAGTCGTTCATTTACACCCAGAGCATGCCCACAAGCTTCAACAAATTGCCTGATACAGATAATAAAAGATCTCAATCAGGAATACAAAATCCAAAAGGTTAATTCAGAATAGCAGCTTACAGAATGTTTTTAAGGTAGTCAGAACACTAAAGTGTTAAAAGAACTCTTGTAAGTCTTGAAAAAAGTCATTCGCCCTCCCCAAAAAACATACCTAAAAACTTCCTTTAGTAGCTTTACTTTATTGTCTGGATATCTTTTGGTGTTTGTATCATCTAAGAAAGCTCTTGCATATGCTAATGGACCAGCATTAACCTAAAAAGAACAAGAATTACAAAACAAAGTCAGTTCTCTGACATTTTGTCTTAGCAATAACAGGTACTACAGATGTCTGATTTGCTTGTCTTAGGAGAATGCATGGATTTCTAAAAAGCAGAAGATAATCACTGGAGTTGGAACATAAGAGCAGAAGAAGTCTCTACAGCACTCTATATGAACCTGTCCAGGCACAAAGAAACCACATTGATGATGTGGCAAAGTAACTGCTGATACTGCCAATTTGTCACCTCTGTTTATGAAATCAGGAAAGTGAGGAAAATTAGCTAAATCTACTACTGGCTTACTGGCTGGCCTGGTTACCTATTGAAAACATTCTTCTAAGCTGAAAATTCTGCAATAGTTAGCAGAAATTTCATTTTGCTATTATGGCACCTACATGAAAAATGGATTCAATGATTTCTGACTCATCCCTATTACTCTTTTATATTAACAGCAAGAGCCCCTCCCTTCTCATCCCAAACACTAGCTTGACAACTTTTTCTTTTTTTTTTTTTGTTTTGTTTTTATTTTCTTTTCAACATGACAACAGGTCATTTCAGATGACTGTGTTTACTGTTCCTTTGATTTGAATCAGTTTAATAGAGCAGCACTTCTGTCATTGCATTCTTAGAATCAGAATTATAGAATCAACTAGATGGGAAAAGACCTTTAAGATCATCAAGTCCAACCATTACCCCAGCACTGCCAAGTCCACCACCAAATCATGTCACTGAGAGCCCCATCTACACGGTCTTGAACACTTCCAAGGACAGTGATTCCACCACTGCTCTGGGCAGCCTGTGCCAGTGCCTGAGCACCCTTTCAGTGAAGAAATTTTTCCTAATATCCAATCTAAACCTCCCCTGGTGCAGCTTGGGGCTGTTACCTCTTGTCCTACCACTTGTTAGTTAAGACCCTTACCATACGGATTTGTATATGCTACAACTGCTTTATATACCTTATCTTGCTAAATCTTTATAGTTTTTGTTAGATGGATTTTATTTATTTATTTTAACACATTCAGTTCTTGCTTGCCTTAGGCAAAACAAAAATATTTAACAGTGAGATTGTCTACTAGTACCCCGCTCCGATATTTTGTCACTCCCTCTTCACCTCCATAGGGATCTTGCCAAAATAGGAAAGCAGTAATGACCATGTTGAACCTACTGTGAGAGACCTATGCAAAACATGCTCATTCATCCTCATATGGAAGTCACCACTTTATGGTAGTTTCAGCTTCAAACCAAAACCTGGTGGGACTCAGACCACCATAAACTCCTGAGATGAATCTCAATCCTTTCATGTAGTTGTCCATGATCAGTATTTACCTGAAATACTTTTATTGTTTTTCCTATTTTGGAAATAACTGCGAACAGTGAGCATATTTCTAATTTAGGACATTCCTGAATATATAGAATAGAAATGAATGATAAAATGCTACTTGTATACTTGTTCAAGGACAGAAGCAAGTGAAATTTCAAGCTGAATGGCAAAGCATATGTTCTTACCTGAACACTGACACTTCCTTGTAGCTTCAGCTGCAATTTGATCATATCTACTTCAGCTGAAGAGCAAAGTTGCCTCAGTTCTGCAACTTTTTTACTCATTTCATCAATGGCTACTTCAATTGGGTTTAAATCAGTGTGGTGCTGGTACATTACTGGAATGCGCTTCTTCACATACGGGAAACAATGTATAGCTATGGACGGAAAACAGTTCCATATAGTAAGAAAAAGGTTTCTCAATAATGTGTGTTTTGATAGAATTTTATGCTAAATTCTCATTTTGAAGTAATTAGTTGCCCAATTTAATAACATATTATATAATTAGAAATACTACCAAAGGTCAGGGAAACAAAATATTGAAAATGTAAATATGTATAGCTTTACATGTGTTATAGCAACGAAAGATCACTGACATTACTGCTACTAATAACTACTTATTTTAAAAGGTTGTTTTGTCTAACAGTTTTTTGGTATACTTTGCAATTCTTGTCACCTCCAACAGTTGTTTGAAATCTAATAAAGGATTTTTTTGACAAAATACACAACATATAGGAAAAATTAGTATCAAGAATTAAATACAACCACTCCCCCCCCCCCCCCCACCAAAAAAAACAAAAACACCCCCCCCCCCCCCCCCCCCCAAAAAAAGACCAGTTTTCTTTTAAAGGAAATTTGCATCCAACCAGTACCTGTTAAAATAGTCCGTCGTTTACACTGTTCTTCTACTCCTCCTTGTCTTTTACCAGCTTGAGTGAAAGGCATCTCAAACATAAAGCGACGAATGTTATGAGTCCTTTCAAAATCTGTTTTTCTTTCTTGCAACTCCTTTTCTTCAAAGTATGGAATTACATGTGTAACTTGAATATATGCATATTTTGAATCTAAATCCTTAGGATTTACCTTGAAAAATGATTAAAAAAACAAATAGCCAAAATTGTGAATAAAGTGGATATAATTGCAGTTACACAACTTTACAATTACACTGTAATTTGGTCTCTTAACCCTTACCTTATTGAAAACACAAGAAACACTAATGCTCTCACAGGGCTTATCTGCTCTCAGTTTCTAACTGTTCAGAAGGGAGGAATGTAATACAGCTAGATGCCTTACAACATACTGTGGGGTTTTTTTAGTTATTTTCTTTAAATACTCATTGATAATTGCTGTATGCAGAACTGCAAATGAAAACATAATACTGAATTACATCCCATGATAAATACTGGAAGGCACAGGTAGAGAAAATTCAGAAACAAGTATCTGTCCTCCATGAAGCTGATACAATAGTAGACTGGAGACCTAAAATTCCTAGTGATAAAAACCCCTTAATAATTAAGAATAAAACCCTACATTGTAAATAGTTCAGATATTACCTCCAGAAGACACTCCTCCCAACCTGTCTGTCTCAATTCTGACACCCTATGAAGGTCCCAGAGAATACAGTGGTGGGAGCAGAGCAAATTGAAGGCTTCACTATTCAGTTCATTTTGCTTCTAGAACTGGATAGATGAGGGCCTCATGGACTGGCAGGTCTTTAATTTGGTAAAAGGAGCAACTGGTCTCCAGTACCAAAAAATAAGGCCTCCTCAGTCTTCACCAAAAAGGGTCCCTAAATGGACCAAGGGTTTTTTTTTCTTTTGTGAATTCCCCCAACCACGGGACAAAGAAAGCACCCTAAACCTGTGCATCTTTCTGAAAGTTGCTGCCTGCCATTTTAGTCCCATGTCAAACATTCACATTATCTCTGCTGGTCTCTGAGCCCTTTCACTTGTATAAACTAAGTGGGAAAAACAATACGAACAGACTCACAGAATGGTTTGGGTTAGAAGGGACCTTAAAACTTATCCAGTTCCAACTCCCCTGCCATGGGCAGGGACACCTTCCACTAGACCAGGTTGCTCAAAGCCCCGTCCAACCTGGCCTTGAACACTGCCAGGGATGGGGCAGCCACAGCTTCTCTGGGCAACCTGTGCCAGCGCCTCACCACCCTCATAATAAAGAATTATACACACATGAAGCCACCAGGTGAGCCCTGGAGTAAACTGGGAACACAGCTAAGGTCTCCCTGCTATTATCCTTTCTATATTGGAACATGCTGCTTAAATGCTGCTTAATTATTTTTTTTTTTGTTAATTAGGGTTTTGGGGTTTTTTTTTAAGTTGATTGGACTGGAACTTAAGTGGCGATTTATGTACTCATGTTTCCTACAAATGCTGACAAATGCATTATAATTAACTGTAAAGAACTCAGTAGTGTAAACTGGAAGAGCTGTGAAAAACTGAGATTACAATTCAAATCTCTCGCCATCCACAGCATGAAATCTTGCCCTTGCGTAAGTCCTCCTCTTCTTTTAAAGTTCCAGTATTGAAAAGCCCACCATTGCTGCACTTTCAGGTCAAGAAGCTCAGAACTTTGTGATCTTACTGGTGGAATCAAGGAACAGAAGCGTGGAGACCTCATAGCAGCCTTCCAATA